AAGTCCTAAGGGCAATTATTTCCCCAAATCAGAAGCATGCCTCTTTTTGTATATGTGTCACTAAGTTTTTTATTTACTGCTTTTCCTAAATTTGGGGGGACATTATAGAATTGTACGTAAGATTCTAGACTGCCATTTAAGCACTGTGAATGTGATTTCTTAAGATACACGTTTTTATGAAGTGAATTTCTATTGCTTTTTGAAATGTGCCTTGCACTAATGAATCTTGTAATATCAAAAGATTTAGGGCCAAAAGGAATACCAGTGCTGCATATGGTTAACTTACAGGCTTCCCAGTAGTACACAGTCAAAAAGTCAAACGCTATAGCTGGACTAACTGGTACTAGAATTGCAAAGTTATAATCATATTAAAAGATTGACTTTAGATTTTTTATTTGCAATGACAGCATAATACAAAGTCAGTAACTCCTGATTTTCTTGCTATATTATATTCAGTGACCACTGACGCTAATGTGGAACATTTCCTGCTAGTTATTCATTGATTAAAAAAAAAAAAAAAAGAGTCATTTTTTTTTTCCCAGAGACTGGGCAGGAGATAAGATGTCAAGAAGTAATAAGTAGTGAAATGAAAGAGGAGAATGCAAAGGAACCAAAAGAGAAAACATTAAAATGATGTTATTTTTTCCCCCTTATGTATGCAGATGGACAGGAAAATTATAGCAGTAATTGCAGACTCTTTTTCACTGAAGACAGAATGGCCTTGGGGAATCAGAGCATGGGAGAAAAAGTTCAGTGAAACTGCATTCTCATCCAGGCCCCAACTGACTTGCTGGATATGGCTTTGTCCGAGGTCATTTACCCTTTCTGTGCCTTAGTTTCCTTAACTGTTGAAAAAAGTTATTTACCATTTTAAGTTACTGAGAAGATGAATGAGATCATGCTTCAGAAACACCCAAAACTGGTCACAAAATTAGGTGCTATAAGAATACTAAGTAGTACTATTATTACTGAACTGTGCATCCTGTTGGAATGAGTCATCTTGCTGCAAAGATGCATAAGCGATTCCGAGTGTGGTAAAAGACCAGAGACAATGAGAAGAGGCAGTTACTCTTAGATGGCGTTAAGGGAGAAGATCCCAGTCGCAGCGAAATCTGCCCTTGTTAAACGAACAAAAGAGGAAGAAGGGAGACAAGACTTATTTTTTATTTTTTATTTTTTTAAGACAGAGTCTCGCTCTGTCTGCCAGGCTGGAGTGCAGTGGCAGGATCTTGGCTCACTGCAAGCTCCGCCTCCCGGGCTCACGCCATTCTTCTGCCTCAGCCTCCGGAGTAGCTGGGACTATAGGGCGCCCGCCACCACGCCCTAAAAATTTTTTGTATTTTTAGTGGAGACGGGGTTTCACCATGTTAGCCAGCATGGTCTCCATCTCCGCGCCCGGCCGACAAGACTTATTTTGTAACTACAGGCATACCTAGGAGATACTGCTGGTTCATTTCTAGACCACCACAATAAAGTGAACATAGCAATAAAGTGAGTCACACAATTTTCTTGGTTTCCTAGTGCATGTATTAGTTATATTTACACTATACTATAATCCATTAAGTGTGCATTATGGCTAAAAAATGTACATGCCTTCATTTTAAAAATACTTTAGCCAGGCGTGGTGGCTCACACCTGTAATCCTAGCACTTTGAGAGGCCAATGTGGGTGGATCACCTGAGGTCAGGAGTTCGAGATCAATCTGGCCAACATGGTGAAACAAAAATTAGCTGGGCATAGTGATGCGCACCTGTAATCCCAGCTACTAGGGAGGCTGAGACAGGAGAATTGCTTGAGCCCGGGAAACCGAGGTTGCAGTAAGCTGAAATCACTGCACTCCAGCCTGGGCAAGTGCAGGAGTGAGACTCCATTTAAAAAAAAAAAAAAAAAAAAAAATCTAATGGTTAAAAAATGCTAATGGATCATCTGAGTCTCCAGCAAGTCTTAGTCTTTTCGCTGGTGGATCTTGCCTCAATGTTGTTGATGGCTGCTGACCAGTCAGGCTAGTGTCGATGCAGGTAAGAGCGGTTGTTGCAGTTTCTTAAAGACAATAATGAAGTTTGCTGCATTGATTGACCCTTCCTTCCATGAAGGATTTCTCTGTAGCATGTGATACTGTTTGACAGGATTTTACACACAGTATAATTTTCTTTCAAAATTGGAATCAATCCTTTCAAACCCTGCCAGTATTCTATTGACTAAGTTTATATAATACTCTAAACCATTTGTTGTCATTTCAACAATGTTTACAGCATCTTCACCAGGAATAGATTCCATCTCAAGAAATCACTCCTCATCCCTTCAAATTTTACAATGAGATTGTGGCAATACAGCCCCATCTTCAGGCTCTACTTCTAATTCTAGTTCTCTTGCTATTTCCACATTTCTAGTTACTGCCTCCACTGAAGTCTTGAACCCCTCAAACTCATCCATGAGGGTTAGAATCAACTTCTTCCAAACTCCTGATAATGTTGATCTTTTGACTTCCTCCCTTAAGTCACAAATGTCCTTGATGGCATCCAGAATGATGAATTTTTTCAATTTACTTTTTCCACATCCATCCAAGGACCTAGGATCTATGGCAGCTATAGCCTTATGAAATGTACTTTCTACATAATAAGACTTGAAAGTCACAATGACTCCTTGATCCATGAACTGCAGAATGCATGTTGACTTAGCTAGCATGAAAACAACATTAATCTCCTTTTATGTCTCCAGGAGAACTCTTGGGTAAGCAAGTACACTGTCAATGAACAGAAATATTTTGAAAGGAATCACTTTTTCTTTTCTTTTCGTTTCTTTTTTTTTTTTTTTTTTGAGCAGTAGGTCTCAACAGCAGGCTTAAAATGTTCGGTAAGTCATGAAAGATGTGCTGTCATCTAGGCTTTGTTGTTCCATTTATAGAGCACAGGAAGAGTATATTTAGCATAATTTTTAAGGGCCTTAGAATTTTTGGAATGGTCAGTGAGAATTGGCTTCAACCTAAAGTCACCAGCTGCATTATCTCCTAACAAAAGAGTCAGCCTGCCCTTTGAAGCCAGGCATTGACTTTTCCTCTCTAGCAATGAAAGTCCTAGATGGCATCTTCTTCCAATAGTAGGCTGTTTTGTCTACATTGAAAATATGTTTAGTGTGGGCACCTTCAATGATCTTAACTAGATTTTCTGGATAACTTGCTGCAGCTTCTACATCATCATCTGCTGCTTCATCTTGTACTATTGCGTTATGGAGATGGTGTCTTTCCTTAAATCCCTGCTAGCTTCAACCTTTTCTTCGGCAGCTTCCTCAGCTCTCTCAACTTTCATAAGATTGAAGAGAGTTAGAGCCTTGCTCTGGATTAGGCTTTGGCTAAAGGGAATGTTGTAGCTGGGTTGATCTTCTCCCCAGACCACTAAAATTTTCTCCCTATCTGCAATGAGGCTGTTTTGTTTTCTTATAATTCGTGTGTTCACTAGAGTAGCATTTTCAATTTCCTTCAAGAACTTTTCCTTTGCATTCCCAACTTGTCTAATTATTTGACACAAGGCTGAGCTTTTGGCCTCTCTTGGCTGTTGATACATCTAAGCTTAATCATTTCTAGCTTCTGATTTAAAGTAAGGGATATGCAACTCTTCCTCTCACTTGGTCACTTAGAGGGCATTGTAGGGTTACTGGTTGGCCTAATTTCAATATTAGGCCATTATTATTAGTGTTTCATCTCAGGGAATACGGAGGCCCAAGATGAAGCAGAGAGGCAGAGGAACAGTGGTCGGTGGAGCAGTCAGAACACACACATTTATTAAGATCCCTGTCTTACATGGGCTCAGTTCATGGTGCCCTCAAAACAATTCCAACAGTAACATCAAAGATCACTGATTACAGATCACTGTAACAGGTACAATAATGAAAAAGTTTGGAAGATTGCGAGAATTACCAAAATGTGCCACAAAGACATGCAGTGAGCAAACGCTGTTGAAAAACGGTGCTAGGACTTGCTTAATGCAGAGTTGCCACAAACCTTCGATGTGTAAGACATGAAATATCTGCAAACAGCAATAAAGTGAATCACAATAAAACAAAGTAGGCTTGTACAGCAAGGAGGTTATACAAATATACTTTTGAAATCCTACAGCCAGTTTGAATCCAGGCTTTGGCAGTTATTAGTATGACTGGGCAAACTACTGTGTTTTTAAACTTCATTTTTCCTATCTGTAAAATGGGGATTTTTATAGATTGTTTATATATATATATACACACACACACACAGTTGTTGTGAAGATTTAAAAATGTACACCGTCACAAGGACTCCGTAAAATAAGCTATTATTGTAATCTATTGGAGACAGGGGGACGTAAAAATCCACACTGATAATAAGTGAATCTTTAAAAAGAAGTAGCAGAAAAAGCAGATTTTTTATTTTATAAGATATGACTTAAGGGGCCTAAGAAGAGAAAAAACTTGTTTTGTCAGGTCTAAATCCAGTTATATTTCATGGGGCCACGTATCACGTCCAACCTTTGATATCTGGCACACAACAAACAAACAGGAAAAGCCTTTCGTGTGCTTTAATAAAAACAGCTTTCCATTTTAAAACGATAAATATATTGGAAAAATCTGTTGGCTCTCCAACAGCTCTTATAAAACAAAGCTCGGACGCTGTGTTTTTCTTGTTTGAAAGACAGAGAAATCAGGGGCGCGGACATTATTAGGCTCCCTTTGATCGCGCCCTGGGATGGGAAGCCTTCGGGCAAAGCCCTGGGGGCAGGACGCGTTTTTTTTTTTTTTTAATCGATCCCGGAACCTTCGCGCGGCGGAGGGGGCGGGCACGCGGGAGGGGCCCGAGGGAGGGGTCTGGGGCGCGGCGCCGCTTGCCCATCCCCCGAGCGCGCGGCGGGGCAGCCGGCCGGCGGCCGCGGGGATGGAGGGGCGGTGACGGGGGCCGGACCCTGCCGGGGCGGCGGGGCGGCGGGGCGGGCACCGCCCGAGGGGGTAGGGCGCGCGCGGGGGCGCGCCGGGCCGGGGAGGCGCGCTCCGGCCGCGCTCGCTCCGCGCTCCCTTCGCTCGCTCGTTCCCTCCTCCCTCGGCAGCCGCGGCGGCAGCAGGAGAAGGCGGCGGCGGCGGCTGGGGATCAGACATGGCGGCGGATCTGAACCTGGAGTGGATCTCCCTGCCCCGGTCCTGGACTTACGGGATCACCAGGGGCGGCCGAGTCTTCTTCATCAAGTAAAGAGCCGGGGACGACACGGGGGCCCCGCGGGGGCGGGAGGGCAGGAGGCGGGCGGCTGGCGAGATGGGGGAGAGCCCGGGTCTGTGCCCCTGCAGCCCCTCGGCTCGCCGCCGCGTCCACTCTCACGCTCCGTGTCTGCCCCTTCTCTCACCCCTGCAGCGAGGAGGCCAAGAGCACCACCTGGCTGCACCCCGTCACCGGCGAGGCCGTGGTCACCGGACACCGGCGGCAGAGCACAGGTAACACCGGGCCCGAACGGAGTTGGGCTCCGCCTGGAGGAGGCGGCAGAGCCGGGGCCGCCCGGCTCCCAGCAACCTGCCCGGTGCCGCGGGCCGCGGGAGGCGGCGAGGCGGGGCGGAGGCCGGGAGGGGGCGGCCGCAGGTAGAAGGGCCACGGGGGCTCCGCCGCCGGGAGTTCTCTCCAGTCTCGGGGCGCCTCTTTCTCCTCAGCCTTTCATCATAACTTGGAGACGGCGCCCTCTTCCTGCGCCCTCTTCCCCATCCCAGCCTAGACGACCCTCGCGCCCCTGGAGTGGCGACGCTCCCATCCCTGAAACCTGGAGTCCTGAGTTTTTCCTCCGCGGCCGCTACTCACTCCCCGGCCACCCCCAGCTGCCGTCTTGCCCCTCAGCAACCTTTAGGCAGTCCTTGCCCACTCCCCTCCCTGCAGCCCCAGACCCTGCTCGCCCGCCGGGATAACGTAACCACATCCTCCCCCTCCTCCCGGGAGCGCTGCCTCCTGCCGTGCAGCTTCCTCCTCCTCTTAGGTGGGACTTGTGGGTAGGTGGCTGATGGAGGAGGAGGAGAGGAGTTCGGGGGTGCTGCGATCCGCTCTGTGACAGGGAGCGGCTCGGGAAACGCTTGGCGCGTTCCCTCCTGCCACAGGAGGAGCAGCCGGAGCCGGAGGAGGCGTTCGCAGCCTCAGTTGTTGGCGATCCGGATCTAAAGTCCCCGCCAGCCGCACGGAGGTTGCACAGACTGCCAGGAGGCGGTGGGCCTGCGAGGGGGTGTCCCGTGTGTGGGCACCGGGCCCTGTTTGGAGGGGGTCCGTGGGGAAGCGGCTCTCTCGGATGGCTTTGGGAGCTTGTTTGAATGCTCAGTGTGAGTGGAGCTGGAAAAGGCTCCTCGTAGTTTCTGTGCTGGTCTGGGTTTCTTTTATCATTCTTTGTTTACATTTGTGAAACTTGTTTGTCTTTGAAATGTAACATGTGTTCTCTTACTGGCCTGCCTCCAGTGCTGGTCATTGGAAAGGTTTGAGAGCAGTTTGGGTCGAAGGCAAGGCCAGTTTCAGCAGTCCTCAGAGCTGGCCTCTGGGATACACTCTGACATTCCGCGAATCTGTTAAAGTTGCCAGGATATTGAACAAACCTGCTTCTCTGTGAAATGCTGGAGTTCACTGAAGTGACTAATGTCTCCAGATTTGCAAAAAGGTGGAGGAAGAAAGGAAAGGCTGGTGTAGCAAGCATGATGAGGTTACATTTTTAAGGCATTTCTGACTAATACACCGTCATGTTTCTCAATTCCCCGGTGCAGGCTTTTGCTTCAATATATCTTTCTGGTGTTTTACACGCATATTACAACTTTGATGGCCTCTTTGCTTTTATGGATAATAACAGATTTATTTCATTAAAGACGATATTTCATTAAAGACGAGATTAAATAATTACCCTATGGAAATATGTGTGATATAAATATATGTCCTAGTTACCCTCACAGATTTGATAACATTCACGCCACAGAAAAATTTTATTCTCTTATGTGATTTCACTTTTTTTTTTTTTTTTCTGGTTTGGTTTATTTTGCTTGGGCTCTGTGGTTTTGTACACACATCAGTTGTTTTTACTTCCAAGAGGTATTTTGATGAAATCCAAACAACTTGTCATTAATAAGTAATATGTAGCACATAATGATACCATTGTTCACCTGAATTATTCCCAACTTTACTACTTGAAACTTCACGTCTCTTAGTCAAATTTTTGGAAACAAACACGGAAGTATTCGGTGCCATTTCTTTTCCACTAATTAAGTACTTAGGAAGTTTTGCATTCTCTTCGGTGACACTTCCTAGATGGATTCATTTGTGTAACTGAAAAAAATGGTCTTAAGTAGACACAGTATACCCAAGAAGAGGCAGGCGTTGCCTGTTACGCACAGTTTTGGTTTTTTGTTAGTCATTCATGAGTGTTTCACCTGGGATTAGAAGGCCTCCCTTTGCTTTCTTGGATGCCAGAACATAGTTCCTCTCAACCCTAATATATTACAATGTGTACTCAGGTCAGATAATCTCTAATATTGTGGACATTTTTCTGATGGCTTTAAATTTGAATTGCTATTTTTCAAAAAATGATATCTACTATTGTATTGGCAGCTCAACACTTTTTTTTTTGTTAGTAATCTACTTAAAACAGCTAATAAATGAAAATGAATAAAATTGATTGAGACTTATTTTGCTATCATTGAAGTAATACTAATTGTAATATATGTATTGTTTTAGATTTGCCTACTGGCTGGGAAGAAGCATATACTTTTGAAGGTGCAAGATACTATATAAAGTGAGTTTTTTGACTTTCATTTTTTCTTTCGTAAGTAGAATGCTGTGATTACTCCTCAGCTGAATAGTTGTATGCTCAGTCTTGATCATGATTTTCTAAGGTTTATCATATAATGGTGACTGTATTCTTTATTTTGTATAGTATTGGAATTTTGAGAGAAAAAATGGCACTGTTAGTTTTCTAATGTTATTTGCCTGGAATATTCATCGATTCATTGATTTGGAAATTAGATCATTTATGGCCACTTTAAAAAATCATTTTGTATCTTCTTCAGTTTTTTTCTTTTGGAATAGTCCAGCTTCATCAGAATATGACTACAATTACCTTTTTTTTTTTTTTTTTTTTTGGTGCTTCTGTGTATATTCCTGGGTAATAGAGGATTATACTCTTTGGTCATTAGCTATGTGGTACTTAAAGTTTTGATCTTTGATTATCTGTGCTAAAAGATAACAAACAAAAAAAAATCTTTGAGTTACGTGAACATCTTTTTTTTTTTTAAGTGAACGTTGTTCATATTGTTAATATATATTTTAACCAGGGCTGTTTACAGGCAGCAAAAGTGATGTAAACCTAGGCACAATTTGGTAAACAATGGTGGTCAGGGAGTAAAAATAGAAATAATTACTGAATATTTCATGAGCATATATTGGAGCATTGTTTGTATTTTTGCGTCAGTTTATTTAAATATGTCTAAAGTCAAGATGTTTTATTGATATGTTTGTTTAAAAAAGGCTTTTAATAGAGCTTGAGAGAAAAAATGACCAGTCAGTCCCAACCTTAAAACCAATTCTTTAGAATATTAAACTAATCTCTGTTCAAACTTAATAACTTAGTACTACTTGGAGACAAATACAAAGCTGGAGGTCAACATCATGTAGGAAAAATTTTAATCCCCCAAGGAAAAATGTAGATGGTTTTTGTCTTTTTGTTTTTATATTAGAAACTGTTTACCTAAGAGCTTGTTTTTTTTGTTTAACCTTATTTGTTGTTTAATTTTAATAAACTGAGACGTGAAAGAGAATACTGAAATACCAAACTTGGTTAAGATTTCGGTTGTTTATTAACAATAACAGATACCTAGCTAAAGTTGCTTTTATTTCATTGAGCCTAGAAAGTTATTTTTACTATGACATTTTTAAGATCATGTTATATACTTCCAGTAAATTATAATTACCTGTATGGTTCTTTAATCTTTTAGAAAGATACTTATATAAAACATCAAGGGCTTTTTGTAAGTATTAGGAATGCTTGCTTTTGGATGTAGAAATAGAGAAAGCAGAAGATACAGGAATGGAATAGTTTCATGGTATAGTCCTTCTGTGAATATTTTTGGGTGAAATCTTTTATTTGGAGATTATACTATACATTATTAGAAAGCCTAAAAAAATACTTGAGTGAAATGCAGTCATCACATATTTTTCTATTGGTTATTTCCATCCTAAATTAAAGTGAGTTGGTATTGCCATGGAAAGGGATGCTGCTTTTTTTTGTCAAGCTAGTAGTATGATATTTGTGAAGAAAAACAGTTTTTTCATTTCAGGTCATTTATGCAATGTAATTTTGACTACTGTACATTAAGCCTAGCTCATCTTATAAAAACAGAGGTAACATTTGAATTTTCAATAAAATTTTAATTTCTTTGCATGCATTCTTGGATGAATGTTTATTTGACAGTACAAAGTCTTACTCTGTGTGGGCTGAGTATGTATGTTTTAATTTAGAACTAAGCTGTTAGGAAGACATTGAGTGAGTTTCTTTTGTTTTACGAGCCGTTTTGATTAGGTTTTCTTTTATGTTTACTTAAACAAATTAGAAATTTATTTGAGTGCCATGTCTAATGCCTAAGTAGGTTTATCTGGAAAATTAAGACAGTATTAAGAAAGCTGTAATAATTTTACTTTAAAGACATTTTTAAACTTGTAGGTTTTAATCATTTTGGTATTCATAGGCAATAATTGTGTCCAAAAGTAGCAATAAATAATTTATAATATTATGAAAGTAATTTCTCCTAAAATTGAGCATAGTGTAGCATATCACTCATTAAACTTTAAAAAAAAATAACCATTGACAAATGTATGATGTACTGAATGTTAGGTGCTACTGCTTTATTTTTCTGGGTTATGTCAGAAGATTAATTTCTGTTAAGATTAGTTAAATCCCTAATGTACGCTGTAATTTCCTAGAAACTTTTTACTTGTTTGTATTGTTACTTATCATTCTAATAGGATAGAGGTACTACTTTTATCTTAAACTTTACAATTTAGAGTACCTTCTCATACATTATTCATTCATGAAGTAGTCAGAATTACTACTTCCATTGTCACACACATAATAAAACAGCAGAAACATGCTTTTGGAACTTACAGTTTGCAAAGACAGCAGGATGAGAAACCCCAGGAACATAAACTATATTTAGAATATTCAGAGTGGAGGGAAAGATAGGAGTCTAAGGTAGCAAAGTGCTTAGTGTTGGTGGCTATAGTTTTTCATTGTCGTTTCTTTCTCAGATGAAGAAAGGTGGTTACTGATCATATTGTATGTAAAGGAGGTTACAGGGTTATTGGGGTGGATTTTGTTCACATGGGAAGTGGAAAGACAGGAACGCCAATGAAAGACATGTCAGCCCTTTGACTATTCCTGATCCTGTGTTCTGGAAAGTTCTTACAGCAAGAAGGGAGACCTAAATAATTTGAGTTGTTTCTACTTCCGTTCTGAAGTGAAATACGTGTAACTCTTAAATTATTCCTCTCCTGAACAAATGTTGGTCGGTGTTAAAAATGGCAGGTTACCAGAAAGAATTTATCTCTGGATTATATTTTGCTATTGACAATTGCATCTCTGTAGGTGGTAAGAGAAGGAGAAGATTGTAGTGGGGAAGTCATAGGAACTGAACTGTGGTCTTACCTTCTTATCGACTTTGTAGCTCAGTCTTCACATATTTAAATTAGGCTACCTGGAAAAGACAACCTCTAAATTCCATTTCTAAATTTCTTTGAATTTTATCCTGTTCTGGGATTTATAATATTCTGGAAAACAGGGAACTCACAGTGCCAAGAAGAAATGATGCTGGAAGTATGGAAAGCTAGGTTTTCTATCCTTCTTAACTATTTTATCCTCTCTCTTTAAGCTTTGAGTAGACAACTACAGATAAGTATGAAGTATGTAGTGCCAGAGTTGTGTGTACTTTCTTCTGCTGCTTTTTGTGCTTAAACGTTTCCTTGTAAAATGTTTGTATACATATCTTCATGTAAACAGATAGTATTGCTATTGTCAGCAAGGGACCTGATCCGAGTAAGAGTTGTATAGGTTTCAGTTAGATAATCAGTTTATTTTATACACTTTGAAATTCATTCTTTAATTCAAGTTTGCAGCTAGATAAAAAAATACGTAACATAGAGAATATATTTTCCTTTACATCCATTTGGCCAAAAAACAGTAAAATATGAAAAATCTTACTTGTTTTTTTTTTTTTTTTTTGAGAGGGGTTTCACTCTGTCATCCAGGCTGGAGTGCGGGGGCTCCATCACAACACACTACAGCCTCGACCTCCTGGGCTCAAGTGATCCTCCCACCTCAGCCTCCCGAGTAACTGGGACCACAAGTGTTTACCACCATGCCTGGCTAATTTTACTGACTGACTGATTGATTGATTGAGACAGGGTCTTCCTATGTTGCCCAGCATGATCTTGAACTCCTAGGCTCACGCAATCCTCCTGCCTTGGTCCCCCAAAATGTTGGAATTACAGGCATGAGCCATGGTACCTGGCCAGAAATCTTTATCTTTAAAGATATTTAATTCTTTTTTTCTGAGTAAAGTAATTTTTCTGTGTACCTTAAGCTAGCTAGCCTCTTAATTATGTTACTGTGTGTTTGTGTGTGTAAATACAGACAGTTTGAGTTTGATTATTGAATTTCCGTATTGTTTTTATAAGTTAATTTATGGTGTTATCTTTATGAAGAATGCTGAAAATTAACATGAAGTGAATTTTATAATTTATGAGGTGTGGCTTTAAATATTCCGTATTCTTAACTAGAAAGCAGATAACTTAGCCCATAAAGCACAGAAGAAAATCTTACACATTTGAGTTATAAAGCTTTCTGCTTACTCCTTGAAAATATTGCTTAATGATTCTGTAATGACAGGCCATGGTAACTTAAAATGGTTGTGTTATTTACTATTCCTTTGTGCTTCAAAGTTTTCGTATGGTTAACTTAGAGTGCCAAGTAAATCTTAAGGCTCTCTGAATAGTGAGAAACTTTATTCTGATTATTTAAAGGTCATTGTAGGATTGGGGATCAAAACAATATTTGCAGGGTATAAAACTATGCAAATTTTGTAAGGTTATGTTTTCATACTGCTTTTTTTAACTTAAAATTCTAAGTTCTGGAAATTGAACTTAGATATGCAAACAGAGCATGAGGTTTTGTTTCAATATCTGCAATAGCTGAATCTAATGTATGCTAATTCCAAACTTACCAAAACTAGGGTTGCAAGTGAGGAGAAAAATCTGTTTCTTCAGATTTTCACAATTCAGAATATGAATGAAGATGGGGAATCTAGCATAACTACCATAAAAAACATTAGAATATATTAACTATATATTTGATACTTAAAGTTGTTTTATACTTTACTTTTTTTTTTTTTTTTGGAGACGGAGTTTCACTCTTGTTGCCCAGGCTGGCATGATCTCAGCTCACTACAACCTCCACCTCCCAGGTTCAAGCAATTCTCCTGCCTCAGCCTCCCAAGTAGCTGGTATTACAGGTGCCCGCCACCACGCCCAGCTAATTTTTTGTATTTTTAGTGGAGACAGGGTTTCGCCATGTTGGCCAGGCTGATCTCGAACTCCTAACGTCAAGTGATCCATCCACCTCGGCCTCCCAAAGTGCTGGGATTACCACTATGCCTGGCCAAAAACTGTTTTGTACTTTCTGTAATAATATAACCAAATTTTGATTACTAGAGCTACATAAGGCTTTAGAACACTTTGTGGGCATTA